ATATATATATATATATATATATACACACATACATATACATATACATATACACACACACACACACATTACACTATTAAGTACAACAGCAATACATACACTATTAGTTAAAGGGTAACTTCAGTATTTTTCAACTTAGATCTTTCTCCTCCATGTTTTTCTCTGACTAACGGAAAAAGATATTTTGAAATGGTTCAGTATCGATGGAGAACGCTGCAAAAACGATGTGCAATGAAATCGCTCAAGGCAACTCCTCACCGCCGATGTACGTCCACTAAAAGAGGCAACGTGTCTTTACCACTGACGGGCTCAGAGTGTTATTATAAAGTGTCTGTTTGTTATTGTGCATAACTAAGGCGAAGTCCTTAAATATTGAGCCATGAAATTGCAAATATTTTAGAAAACACAAAGCTACACTTTAACCTGACAAACTCTGACAACACCAGCTCTCCTCTCTCCAACTCTCAGCCACGTTTCCATTGTTGTCTTTGAGCTTCGTTAGACACAACAACAAACAGACCGGATCGAGAGAAAGGTAAAAGGTTCCTTCCATAATGTCCTCAAGACACTAAGAATAACAATCTGAGCCTGTCAGCAGCAACAACAACAACAAGCCCTTTTAGTGGACGTACACTGATGGTGAGGAGTTGCCCCGATTGATTATATTGCTGCATGTTTAGCGGCGGCTGTCTGCAGCGTTCTCCTTCAGTACTGGACCAATGTCACTTAGTAACCTGATGAAGGTCTATGTACCAAAACAATGTCACTTAATACCTCTGAATGCAAGTGAAGAAGTCAGTGTGAAGGAGTTTCCAAGTTGAAAAATATCCAAAGTTACCCTTTACGTATTTCTGCAAGCAAGAGATCTCATTTCTTCTTCTTGTCTTGGGTGCACCTCGGACAAAACCTGAGAAATTAGAGAGAGGAGGGGAATATATGTTAAAGCACAGAGGATAAACGTGAGGCATCTGCATTAATAATCATAACAAGAGAATAATGTTCTCACCATTTTCCTTTGGGTTTTGAGGCGAGATCCACACAAGCAAAGTGAAACCACTCAATCGGACACTGAGGGACGACAAACAACGTCATTATTGAGGATCTCTTGCAGAAACAGACAGTGGAACTGGTTCCGACAGCGAGAAAACGAACGCTTACGTCTGGGTTATCGCATCCAATCATCTCTCCATACGACACCTGATGGCACAGGCAGTACGTCGGCTCGTTGGGGTCGACCGGCATGTCCAAAACGTCCGACGGCTGCATCGGCAGGAGAGCGTCACTCAAGTCTGGGCTGGAAGTCCAACGTAAAACATTATTAGAATTAAACATGAGTAAATAAATTAACAAGTCATTGGTGATCTGACTCAACACTGGTATCTAGTAAAACCCTTGGCCTGAAGGACCCATCAGCTCAAACATACCTGTTCTTTATCTTTTTCTTTTTGGGAGAATCCTCATCAGAACCCTTCCGTGCTCTTCCTCTGGATGCACGCTTCTCTCTCAGCCCCCGGGTTTCAGCCTCTGTGAGAAATATTCACATTTATAAAATGTGCATCAACTCATTTTGTCATCTGACAAAAGCCTCTCAGTCTCACGCAACTTACTTTTCACGGCTCTTCCTTCTGTACTTTCGTAGCCGCTCATTTCCAGTTTCTCCTTCAGCTCGTTCTCAAACCGAGCCAGATCTGCATCCAGTCTGCGGATATGTTTGTCCACCTGCAGGAAAAAGGATTTCACGTAGAACCAGACCATGTGTGTGGCTTCATTTGCATATCCAGAATATACTTTATGAAAACCATAAAGTACAATAAAGTGCGACTTAAGGGATAGTTTGAAGTGTAGATGGTGGTCGGCACACCCAAAGTTCCGGGCAGGAAACTGACCATTTCGTACGTCTGCATTGCGAGCTGAACTTTGTCGTCGCTGAACTCTTTGCACTTGCTGTAGGCGTTTTGGATCTTCTGCAGGTGTTCCACTCTCTGCTCTGAGGCCAGGTTCTTCACCATCACAACGTACTCCTCAGCCAGTTTGTCGATCTCTCCTTTCTTCTCTGCACAACAACACGATTATTACAGGGATGGCCAACCACAATTGATCGGCACAATACTTGAAAGCTTAGTTATCTACATCTAAAACTTGTACGGTTGGTTTTAAATGGTGCAACACAAGCAGCATGCTACACTCAGAGGCCCTCACACCTACTGAGATGTTTTCAGTTATCTTAGCTGATCAATATTCTTCCACAGCAGACTTTATGACAAAGCAGGAAATGCACAAGTGTAATTAATTGTAAGCCAGTTCCAGGGCTCACCTAAATTTGCTTTGTTTATTGGGAGAGTTAACGGAGCTGAGCCATTGTTAATGCTATTAGTTACACCTGTGCTATTGAGCTAAATCACTATAAATGGACAAAATAATGTAAAAATCATAAAAGGTGTAGGTCAAGATGATACCATTCAAGCTCAGTCTGTGCACGCTGACCTGAGAAGAGGTCTAATAAGGCAAAATACATTCTAACACCTGTGCAGGTAGACTATTTGTGTGTAGGGGGTTTTAAGTCAATAAAATATTTTGATAATAATATCTTTATGAGGTTAAATGATCACCTTCAGTCCTGTTGTCCAGGTCCCGCATCAAAGTAAAGTTTCTCTGCAGCTCACATGGAAGGTTTTCAATACCTAGAGAAGAAATCGACATCAGGGTGAGAGAGACATTCCATCTAACGCTGCACTTATTCATCCACTTATCAATGTAGTGTCACTCAAGGAAAAACAACTGTCCATGAGTGTCAGAACTATAGCCCAATTATAATTGACAGAAATTTACTTTAAATTGCAAACAGAGTAAACCAGCATGTTGTGTTCATAATTTTGCTCAATAAAAAAAAAATTGTGTTGTCAAATTGCGTAAAGTTGAGAACACACATTTAATTTGTCCCACTTTTTAAATGCATTACTGTTAATGCTTTCAGAGAGAGCACTATAGTGTTAAAGCATCCACGGTATCGTTACAGGAAGTGACACACTTTAGAAGCCCCGCCCTCCAGCGCGTCACTGCTAACGGGAAACGCGGTAATCAACAGGTTGCAAATGCATGGTACCTGCCACCCAAACACACATTTTGACCCAGAAAACAGAATTTAAAAGTTCTATAATATTGAGTATGACGACAACATTTTTTAACAACCTTATAAACT